TAGAAAGTTTTCAGTAAAATCAGGGATATCATTTCAGACACTATGGCCTTTTTTAAAACAGGTCTTGAGGCAAAAAAGCTGAGGATAGATAATAAAATTTAAATTGTAGTAATAGATAGTAAAATTGGTGATAAATTATACTGACTGTTAATGCCTTATAAAAAATTATTAACTTTGATTTGATTTCACTTAGTTGTTTCATTGAGTTATTTCACCTGATAAAAATTAAGCTTTGTAAGGAAACTTAATGTAGGTTTGGTATATGCAGTTATGAGTCTTCCTTATTGTCTTTTGTTTTAATACAGCAGTTTGAAAAATAATATTCTAAAATAAATCTCTTGTAAAGTCTTTACACTTTCATAGCCACAGATGCCACACTCTTAGCATCTTCTGTGCTTTAAAATATGGCTTTACAACCTAACTTCTTACCCTTTTTTTTTTTTTTAAATATTTACCCTGCAGCCAGCGTTGCTTTGCTTGTAAAAGTGTTTCCACATTGCACATTGTGACAATATCTGTGTGACAAAAGAATAAAAAGAGAAAGCTTACCAAAATGTATCATGAGTTTTGGCATCTTGGGTGCATATACATCGTGTATGATGTGTGAATCTGTGGATGCTGTTCCATCCCATCGCTGTGCATAACACACAGAGCTCTCATTCCAAGGAGAGGTGATGTATGTGAGGATTGTAATGGTGTTTTCCCAAACCACTAAAATCAATTCCCGCCACTAAAGAAACAGATTCCCCAGTAATGTTTCATGTGGGAAGGAGGACCACTATGGGAACTGTATGAAGTCATTAATATGCCTTTACAAATGGAAGCACGTTCTTGGGTTTTCATGTGTTAAGTGCAACTTCTTTCCTAGGAGCCTTTGTGCTAGCACAGTGTCCTGGATTTTAGCTGGGACAGAGCTGGGTTTCTTTTTAGTAGCTAGAATAGTGCTGTGTTTTGGTTTCAGCTGGGATTTGTTATCGGAGAAACATTGATAACATCCCAGTGTTTGCATTTTTGTCA